AGTCGAATAAAAATGCACTTTAAAATGGTGTTTTGTCATTTTTGTTTTATTTTAGTGATTTGTTATTTTATTTGTTAAAACACAAATAAAACAAATATTTGTGTTTTTCAAATAAATTTTTGTTTGTCTCCTGTTAATAAATGAATTTATATATTTCTAATTAAAAATTGAAAGTGTCTGTAGAAGTAATTTTTTAAAATATCCTTTTTCCCGATAAAGATTTAATACTTATTACTATAATCTAGACAAGTTAATCCTAAAACATACAAGTATATTTAAGGATTAGGCCATAAGTATATATAATATACTTGTGGCCTAATACTCCATGACATCTTGCAATGTGGCCCATAGAAACAAAAAGGTTGAACATCCCTGGTCTAAACTGTCTTCTTTCGGATCAGGAATGAAGTTATTCGTGTAAAGTGATTTATGAGTAACTTTTCTCGGTTTTGTTTTTTCTGTCTTCTTTAATATCTTTCTCTTCATATCTTTTTCTTTTGACTGTAAATTATTTTAAATGGCCAACTTTTTATTATTTATGATTTTTCTGCCTTTCTTCTGTCTTTGTTGCAAAACCTTCTTTTTGGAAGTGCTCATATTTTTGGAGAAAAGACTGAGAAAAATCGTTGAGTTTAGAAGTAGATGGAACTACATCTATTCTTCTAGATGATGGGTCTTCTTTATTGATCTCTCTATTTGCTGCTGCAGATATTTGTGCTTCTTTAATTTAACAACATGCATATTTGTTAATGCACAAAGTGCAAAATCCTCATCTGTGAACAATTTTTGCCTTACAGTGGCATTGAAACATTTGTCCCGCAACATCGATTTTTTTCAAAAACAGTTACTGCCATCTACACCGAGAACATTTCTAAATGTTTTTTAGTCTACCATAATGCACACGAGAAACAAGTTTACCAAAATATTAATAGTATGATTTGCTGAAATTTTTACATAATTATGAAATATAATATGTGTGAGATCGAGGAATTGAGAAAACATCCAAAAACTCGATCGGGTAAGCCTAATTTTCAGTCTTAGAACGAAAAGAAAACAACCCGAAGAGAAAGTATCGAATATTAACAACTAGCAGGTAGGCCCGGCGTTGCTCGGGCAAAAGTAACGATAGCAAAGATTAAGACTATTGTGTTATAGTCAACCTTACACGTTTTCACAGAATGCAAGAATTGGGTCCCATGTTTCCGGACTAATTAAATTTTTAGATGGGTCTAAAAATATGATGGATTTTCGGAAAAACGAAAAAAACTTCTTCCGCGTCTTGCACGTCGCTTTATCTTAACAATTCCATTATTATGTAACACTTCCATTGTTGATAGAAGTGTTAAGCCCTAATCCTGTCTCTTTCTATTTTGTTAATTTTGTTAAGCGTAGAGAGAAAAATTCTGTAGAGATTTGTTCTTTAACACGGAAATGAAGAAAGAAGTTGATGGTAAACGAAGTCGTGACGTTTATTATATGTTCAGTTCGATACGCGTGTTTATAATACTTTTCGATAAACGTAAAAAATCACGCCATTTGCCATTTAAAAAACACGTTTATACTTAAATTCCAAGCAAATTATTCGTGAGAAAATTACCAGAATGAAGTTCTACTTATATAAATTATCTATAGTTTCATGACTAGAATCGAAGCACAAACAGTGGATTACTTCCATCTTCCAGCGATAAAACTAATATTTAAAATAGTAAATTATCTGTGAAGTATTGTATTTCTAATAAATATTAATTATCTCAACTATTAGTTTTCATTATTTAATAATACAGAATTCCTAATGATACCATAACAAAGCCAAATGTGTCGACCATTTTCCTGGAGGATTCGATTTCGTAGATGGAACACGTAAAATTTTCAAGCAGAGAACTAGTTTTCGTGTTGCAAAGTTGATGTTTTCAAACATGAAATCAATTATTTATAAATACGTATTGTATCAATAAATATATATATACTAACAGGTAGGCCCGGCGTTGCTCGGGCAAAAGTAACGATAGCAATGATTAAGATTATTACGTTATAGTAAACCTTATCCGTTTTCACAGAATGCAAGAATTGGGTCCCCAATGTTTCCAGACTAATTAGAGAATTTTTAGACGTGTCTAAAAATATGTTCGATTTCCCACAAAAACGAAAAAAAAACTGCATCCGCGTATTGCACGTCGCTTTATCTTAACAATTCCATTGTTACGTAACACTTCCATTGTTGACACGTCAATTGTTGACACTTCCATTGTTACTTAACACTTCCATTGTTGATGGAACTGTTAAGACTTAATCCTGTCTCTCTCCCCCGTGGGGAGGAATTTCGAAAAATTTCTTCTTAGTGTGCGTTCTCGTGACGTACCCTATGTACCAAATTTTAACTTTCAACTCTTAACCGTTTGGGCTCTGCACTTATTATTATTATTATTATGTTGGGTTTAGTGGGTTAACTCTGTACACACCGGTGGCAGTGTACTATGCCGGACCAGAGTCAAGGCATAGCAACCAAAAACTAAAATTAAATAAGTGTGTCAGTGTCAGTGCCTGTATTAAGGAATTTCCTAACAATATGGCATGTATTCAATATAGGGGCCTTCTGTAGTGTTATGTATGTATTTCTATTCAATTGTAATGTTCCCAGGCTTTTGTGTAGTGTGTGTGGTATCACACCTGTACAGGAAAGAACAACAG